GTGTCCAGGGCATGGCCAATTACTCTTTCTAACAATATTATCTCCCTATCTTTGCATATGTTGTTCCCTCTGCCTAGCATAACATTCTCCCATCTTGTAAATTCCTGAGATCTTGTGAGGCTTCCTCTGGCAGGCCTGCTCTAAATTGCTGCCCCACAGCTGGGCTTCCAGAGCACTCTAAGTAAATAAATCTCTGGGCTGGGGATTTAGCTCAGTGGCACTGCGCCTAGCTAGCAAGTCCAAGGTCCCGAGTTTGATTCCCAGTACAAAAAAAAAAAGGACAAGCAAATAAATCTCTGTCAAAGCCCTTTCCACAGTGCATCCCATTACCAATTCACAGGGGGGGCAGGCAGTCCACACCTGTGATCCCAGCACCCTGGAGGCTGAGGGTGGAGGATCCCAAATTTCAGCCCAAACTGGGCAACTTAGCCAGACTCTCTCTCAAAATAAAGAGGGCTGGGGATGTAGATCACTCCAAAAGCCCTGGGTTCAGTACAAAACAAAAACATTCATTATCAATTTACATATCTTTATCATACACTAAACTCTGAGCTTTGTTAAGGCAGGATTTATGATCTTTCTTTTTTTTTTTTTTTGGTACCAGGGATCAAACTCAGGACCTTGCGCTTTCGAGGCAGGCGCTGGAACCACTGAGCTAAATCCCCGCCCCGGATTTATGATCTTTCTATTCAGGTATCCTAGTCTAGCATAGTTATTAAATTATAGCAGCAGTTTATGAACAGGTCCACTGTGGTAGAAACTGAAAAAGTTCTGAAATCAAGATAAAATATCTATACTTCTGTGAAAAAATATCTTAAAAAATGGTTAGGAATGGTTAAGAGAGAATATTCCGACTGACATTTTTCTCCCATTTTGTAACATGCTTATATAGCAGTAACCAATCAACATTAGTTATTCAAGTGCTCAAAGAATATTATAATTTTTCCCTTGACATATTATCATCTATTGATCAGCATTCTATGTTGACTGTAATCCTCTTTCATCCCCCAGGAATCCCTGAGCAAACCACAGGAGTCAAAGCTACCCTCAAATCTAAGCCCCAATGGCTCACTGCACTAGAGACACTCCAATACTTTTTTTTTTTTCTTGGTTTTTTGAGACAGGACCTTGCTATGTAGCTCAGGCTGGCCTGGCCTTGAACTCATGGCAATCCTCCTGCCTCAGCCTCCCAACTGCTGGGATTACAGGCATGCACCACCACGACCAGCTAGTCAAGATTCTTTTTCTTACTATCAAATTCTGGGTATTTACCCACTGATATTTGGGAACAAACAGTTCTATTCATCAAATGTGTATCTAAGTACATTCCAAAATAAAACACGCTTCCTCCCCCCTCACCAGGGATCGAACTTGAGTCCTTGTGCTTACACAACAGGGAGCGAAGCCACTGAGCTAAATCCCCAGCCCATAAAACATGCTTTTACAAGCATTGAGCCTCATGCAGGAACAAGTTCAGGAGACTATTTTAAGCCCCTCAACCCTTCTAACAGAGTGGTTTTACCAAAGGTGATACTGTGGTCTTAAAAAATAAATTACTCAAGACACACCTGTGCCCCAGAGCCACAAATCCTCTATGTATGCAAACCAGACACTACACCAATAGAAGCATTTGTAAAAATAGGCTGCTTCTGCATTTGCCCTACATTTTACCAGATTCTGTCATCTATACCAAGCCAAGGGCTAATTTCCACATTACTTGTACGACAATACAATGACCAGTTAGTCTACGTCGAGGCTCGCTCAGGAAGAAGGAGGATCTTACCTTGGGAACTCTGGCTGAGCCTGGCGGAGGAGCGGGTGACGCGGGCAGAGCGGCGTGATGTGCCATCGCTCTCGGAACTGTCTGTGTGCTCGAGATCTGTAGAAAAATCGGAATCTTCCGTTCCATCTGAACTACTGCCTGCATTCCTCTGCAATACCATAGATCCAGACATTAGCACAGAAGCATTGACTGTATGGGTTTTCATTAGCACTGGAAATAAAATGAATCACAACACTAGAAACACCAAGTTCAAACCTAAGGAAGAACTCCACAGGCATTTCCCCTCCCTCCCCAGAGCCAGCTTCCCTTTATTTGGGACATTTTAATGGAACAACCTACACACAGGCACCTTTGCTAAGTAAATGAAGACAGGAGAATGAATTCTTACTGTATTATTACTAATTATGAGCCAAGTCTATTTGGCGATCAGTACCACTAACTGGAAATGAAAGCACGCAACTCAAAATGGTCTGGCTGACATAAGCACACAAAGGAAAAGTCCAAGACAGTATGGAAAATGTTGGCAAAAGGGCCCCATTTAAAATGTTAGGGAAAATTGAATTCCAAGTCTCCATGAATGGGGATCACATTTTTTTTTGGGGGGGATCACATTTTTTAAAAACCATACACTAGGTGGGGTGTGGCTCAGTGCTAGATCCCCAGCACCACACACACACACACACACACACACACACACACACACAAAAAAAAAAAAAACCCTAAAAATCACATACTATTTCAAAATATGAAGCAGAGCCAGGTGTGGTGGTGCATGCCTGTCACTAGCACTCAGGAGGCTGAACTAGGAAGACGGCTGTGTGTTCAAGGCCAGCCTGGGCTATATAGTGAGTTCAAGACCAGCCCCGCAATACATAGTGAGACCCTGGTCTAAAAAAAAAAAATACACACACACACACACACACCCTAAAACAATGGCTTGTAACTTGACTGCAAAGGAACTTAAGCAGAAAAAGATAAAAATTCTTCTTCCTTATCCCAGCTATCCTTGACATTTCTCCACATGATTGCCAGAAGTACTAAAAAAGATAACTTGTACTCAAGACTAACGGATATTCAAAAACAAGTTTTTAAAAATTCATATTTCAGTTAATAGTTACTTGTTAATTATTACAGTGAACAGCCATAAAGATAATTTGATCAACTGAACATTAACACTATATTTTTCACCAAACTGGAAAGCAAAGAGTATAGTGCTAGAAGCACCACTGAGCTTCAATCTATAAATAGGTCATGTGCCATTGAGCCATATCCCCAGCCCTAAGACTTGGTTCTTTCTTCAAAGAGCAAGCCACTTAGGACTACTTGTGTTTAGAATTCACAATGTTTTAGACTTTTAAAAAGGGGATACTTCACATATACTCTGTAAATAACACTCCATAACGAATACGTCAGTATTTCTGCAGCAAACTATATAAACAGTCCTATTAAATGAGACACATAAAAACTGTTAAGTGGGCTCCAGGTAGCTTAGGACAGCTTTGCCACAAATCAAGTTACTAAAAAACTGAGATTTTCGAGAATGCATTGTATTTGGAAATTGCAGAAAGGGAATTGTGGACCAAGGCAACGATATTCTTTCTGCATTTCATAACATAAATACCACCTACCAACTTAGGTCATTTAGGAGACATTACAAGTGTAAATATTTGAGTTGGAAAGCTTCTGTAAAAAGAGAGTTCTGCAGAAGTGAGCAGAATACCACCAAGCTTTGCAAATATTCCATGAGTAATCTTTCCAAAAGTGAACAGAACTGGGGATTTAGCTCAGTGGTGCCGCCGCCTGCCTCGCAAGGGCAAGGTCCTGTGTTCGATCCCTGGTGGCAAAAATAAAAAATTTAAAAATAAAAACAAAAATGAACAGATATCTCAGAAAGAGTCACAGCAAATAGCTGGGAGGAAAGGGACTCTTAAAGCCACTTGTCCAATTACCCAGATATGCGAATCTCTGACCTCTGACCAGCTCTTCCTGGCTTGACCTTGAAACTACACGTTGAATTACATTTGTTCTACAGCTCTGGCTCTCCCATTGCCTGACAAGTGGCTTGGGAGACTCCATTAGGCTTCCACGTGTTCAATTGTAAAAAAAGATGGAAGTGTTCCTGTGTGACCTTTTAATCCTAAAAAGTTTTTTCTTTTAATTTTACGAACTACATTTTCTAGGCACTGCCAAACTAAGCATATAATGGAAGATGCTGGCTTAGACGCAACAGGCCCGGGTCTGATCCCTTGGGAGTGGGCGCTGGTTCCCCACCACCCACTTCCCTGCTTTGTTGTGCCCACACCTGGGAGGGAAAGCGGTACAACAAACCCCGCCTCTGCGCCTATCAGCATCCCCACCAGGAAGGGCGGGGACTCGGGCCATCCAATCATGGCCCTGGTAAACCGCGCCCCCACGGGACAGACTGCCAAGCCTGGCCAATCAATGCAAGAGGGATCGTTCTCCATTGCCAATCGCAGAGTGCCGGGGCCGGGCCCAGAGACCACCCCCGCACGCGGGGAGGTGACCGTTGACCCAAACAGGCGGCGTCATCAGCCAATCCATATGCTTCAAGACGTTTCATCGGCCAATTAACAATAAGAACGCCTCCGATCCAGGCAAGCAGAGGGCGGGAATAATTGCAAGCATAGGCCGAGGCCCGGTTTGGGCCCACATTTTTCCATCGGGTACGGCAGAAGAAAAGCGAGGGTAGCTGAGCTAGGTTTGGGGTAGGGAGAAGTTGGATCTCAATCATGGTGAGGCATGGCCAACTACGTCACGTTGCTCCATCGACTGTTCTTAGAAACCCGCCATCCCTCTTCTCCCATTCCTCACCTTCCTTCGCGGCATTGCCGGCGGCTGCGGCCCGACGATTCCGATTCGGGCAGCGGCAGCAGCAGGAGGAACGGTGGCTCCGGCGGGCTCCGTGGCGGCCTCTGTAGCAGTCCCAACCCTGCGGACGATCTCAAGTGCCTCTTGCTTCCCAGCGTCTAGAGCTTTCTGCGCAGGCGCCGCGGGCTGAAGCGCTCTTTCCTTCACTTCCGGCTGGGGCTCGCATCACGTGACGTTATGGGCCAGAGAGGGTGCTGGGAGGTTCTTTCCTTTGGGTGAAGCTAATGAGCGCCATTTTGGAATTGGGCAGGAAGTGACACAAATAATAGAACCTTGGGCCGACCATTTTTAGTTTGGTGAGTGGCACCCTTTGTGGGCGTGAGTAGCCTTTCTTGTGTGGGGCAAAAAGCCCAAGAGTTGAAGTTAACGGTTTTCGTCATTATCTTGGGCAAAATTTCTCTTCCCGGTCGTGTTTTTCTGGAGTCAAGGAAGGAAACCCCCAGAACCCATCAGGTTGCCGAGATTTAACCTCTTCGTTGCCTAATTGACTAAAAGACGTTTACGTTTCTCATATAAACTCAAAAGTTAGGCAGGGGTATTTTGCACAAGAAACTGTGTTTTAAGAGCTATTCTTGGGTCCCAAGGGTTTGGAGTGGGGATTTAAATTAGGAACGAAAGAGTAGCGATCGTCAGGAGGAAGTTTCCTGTCTGGTAGAGGAGACATTGTCCTTGCCGCTAGTGAACAGCAAGTAAGTTAGTTGTTCACGTTGGAGGAAGAGGCAGAGCCCTGCTCCAAAAACTAGCTCTGAGGAATTCCCAGTTGAGCTCTGTTTCGAGCGCCCACCTCGTTGTCCCACTGCGTGTGGGTTTGAGAAAGTGGGGCGCGGGGGGGTTCTGTTTCTTGAATGTGAAGGTGCTTTACTAGAGTCTTAGAAACGTGGAACCCCACTCAGCTCAAATAACCTCTGTATTCCATATGCTTGCTTGAGCCAAGAGTTGGAGGAGGGAGAAAGGAAGAAGGAATATTTTTAGTGAAGCTGGAACCAGGAAAGGAATGGATATTTACATAATAATGAAAGGTCCTAGGAAGGAAAGGTTGGTCTGGTCAAGAATATTAGGCCAGAAAAAAAAAAAAGAATATTAAGCCAGAAGAGCCATCAGAAAAAAACTAGAAAATAGAGAGCAGGCAGGAGGATTTAACCTCCCTAGAGGAAGACAAGAGAAGCAATGCTGGGCGGAGACCGACTGGCTGGAATCCAGGCAAGGTCCATCCCTAAATTAGGATCCTGGAGCCCAGTTTCGACCTGGGGCAGTTAAGATGGAGAGTTCCACTGGAGCAGAGTTGAAAGAACGAAGCAGCTGAAGATAAACACCTGATTGATGTATGAGATGAAGAACTCCAAGGAGTTTAAGTTCCAGTCGGTTTGCCAGCATTCACTCTCCTTGGCAATTGCCTGGGCCGTTTTTGACACAGGCAGCTTTTTTATTTAGTATTTAGGTTTTAGTGCTTAAAATAACTACCTTTGATAACTTGGGTTGAACTGCACATAACAACTTATTTGAAAATGGCTCATGTTTCTTTTGTATCCTTTCAGCACTCATGCATTTAATTTCACACTATTGCTGTTACTTTGTACTTCCTGCTGTATTTGTGAGATCATTCTTGGATGTTCTAGCTCCCTAACTGGTGATAAGGATCTCATATTAAGAGCATATCTTAGGCTGGGCATGGTGGCACACACCTGTGATCCCAGCACTCAGGAGGCTGAGGCAGGAGGATCACAGTGAGTTTGAGGCCAGCCTGGGCCTAAGTTCAAGGCCAACCTGAATTACATAGTGAGAACCTGGTCTCAAAAAAAAAAAAAAAAAAAAGTATCTCAATTCTTCTGTGTACTCTTTTCTAATAGTGCCCTGTTCATGTTCTACCCACTGTAAATACTTGCTAGTCCGTTAGAATATCATTACCATTCCCATCATTACAGATACTCAGCATTAGTTAATCTCCTACACTGGATTCTCTAACATTGCAGCTGACACTAAAGAGTTTACAATTTCAGATCTGGATGAAGAGGCCCACACATGGAATCCTACCACTTGGGAGGCTGAGGCAGGAGGACTGCTGTGAGCTCCAGGCCAGTTTGGGCTACGTAGTTGAAGGCCAGCCTGGAATACATAGTGAGACCCTGTCAGCCAGGTATGGTGGTGGATGCCTGAAATCCCAGCTATTCTGGAGCCCTAGGGAGGAAAATTCCAAATTTGAGGCCAGCCTGGGTGATTTAGCAAGATCTTGTCTCAAAACAAAAAGGGATGCAGCTGTAACTCAGTATAAAGGCCCTGGGGTCACTTCTCAGTACCCAAAAATAAATAAGAAAAGGTCTGGAGATGTAGCTCAGCATGAAGCCCCTGGGTTCAATTCCTAGTACTGCAGAGGGAGGGGAAGAATTTGGTTTTGCTTAGATATGGTTCTTATCCTTGGCATGTGCACATTCTGTTGGAAAGATGAAGAAAACTAATTCCAGTAGGATAGAAATATGATCTTAAGGAGAAAAATGTGTTCTTGAGAGGACAGTAGACCAGCTAGGTATATTTAGAATAAGGAAGAAAAGTCTTAAAAGCTCTCTGTTTTTCTTTTTAACCAACTATAATCTTTACTTGGAGAGTCATTTTCATCACAACACAATTACAAGCAGGAACTGTTGGCTTCAAAGTCTTTCCCCAGTGACCTCTGCCCATTCTCATCTCCCAGACCCAACATGGGCACAATCCAAAGTTCTCCCCACATTTGCACTTCCTCACGGGCTCTTCTTCTTACTTGAATGTATTTCCCAATCCTCTTTAGAAAGATCTTTCTTCAGAGCCAGACGTAATGGGCCACACTTGTCATCCCAGCATTCACAGACAAGAGGTTCACAGGTTTCAGGACAGCCTGGGCAACTTAGACCCTGCCTCGAAATTTAATAGAAGTTGTGTTTGTTTGTTTTTAATGCCTGGGAATGTAGCTCAGTGCAGAGTCATTTGGTTCCCCCAGTACTGGTGGGAAAAAATCTTCAGAGAGTCTTGCTTGATTTATTCTTTCTAAGGTAGTAGGGCATAATGATAGATTGCACTGACTTAAATAGTTTTCCTCATACCATTGGTCAACACACTGTTCCCTCCTCTCTTAAAGGCAGTAGGAACATAAATCCTATTTGTGGTATTGATCAGTTCTACTGGTGTCCAGCATAAGATATCATATCTTAGTTACTTTCTCATTGGTGTGACAAAATACCGACACCCACAAGTTAAAGGAGGGGAGGTTTATTCTGGCTCATGGTTTGTAGAGGTTTCAGTCCATAGTCAGGTGGTTCTAAGGCAGGGCAGCATGGCAGAGGGGCCTGGCGGGTCAGGCATGGTGGTCCACACCTATAATCCAGCACTCAGGGGCCTGAGTCAGGAGGATCGCTGGGAGTTCAAGGCCAGCCTAAGCTACATCATAGCAAGACCCTGTCTCAAAAACAAAACAAAACAGGGCCGGGGATGTAGCTCAGTGGTTCCGCCGCCTGCCTCCCAAGCACAAGGATCCAAGATCGATCCCCGGTACCCGCCCCCCCAAAAAACCCACCAAAACAAAACAGGGGCATGCCGGGGATAAACAGTTTGTGGCATGGCTAGCAGGAAGCAGCAGCCATCAAGGGAAGAACACTCTACTACTGAGCTAGATCCCCAGCCCTTTTTTATTTTTTATTTCGGAACAAGATCTTGCTATAAGTTGCCCAGGCTCAGCTCAGACTTGCCATCTTCCTGCCTCTGCCTCCAAAATAGCTGGAATTATAGGTGTCTACCTAGCTGGACAAGTTTTTAAGTTTATAGGTGCCTTAGTCTTCTCTGTACATTGGGGACACTAATAGTCACCTCACAGGTTGCTGTAAGGAATGAAGGAGGTGATTCTTGTAAAACACTCAGCAAAGCTCCTCAGAGTTAGTGTTCAATAAATGGCTGTTGTCACTTATACTTCCAGGCACCCTAGTCATGGCCATAACATCGTAATGTTTGTGACTATACCTTCACGTGGCCTCAGTGGTGGTTTGCTTCTGTCTGTTCAACCTCTCTGCAGCTTAGCGACAGAGTGATGACCTAGGCATTATATAGCAGGCACTGAGTCACACCAAGATGGCCAGAACACCCTCTTCCTCCCGAAGGAGCTTTGAGCCCAGCAGGGATGACAGGACAGGAAGCCCAAGATCCGAAACACATGGGGAAGTAGAAGGATGAGTAAGGCCTGGTGGTACAGAGGAGGAAGTGGAGTGCTTCATCTGTATACATAGAAGAAGTGAAATAAGAGTCAACATTATGGGATGAATTTTTGTCACTGGACATGGGAAATAGGACTTTCCATGCGAAGGGAATTGAGGTGAGGGTGACTGAGTTGGCGTGGAGTTGAGGTGCTTCCTAGAAAAGCATAGGACTGTTGTTGGGTTCGAGTTCGTACACAGCCCTCAGTGCCCTGCTAAGGCACCAGACCAGAGGTGATGGGCAGCCTCTTTTCTCCTTCTTCCTAATGAGAGTCTTGCTATACAGTTCAGGCTGGCCTGGAACTCTCAGCGATCCTCCTGCCTCAGCCTCCCAAGTGCTGGGATCACAGGTGTGCACCCCCACCCCCGGCACAGTGGGCTGTTTCTGAAGGACTTGAAGCACAGTAGTCTTGTGATCAGACTTGCATGTTAGAGAGCTCTTTCTGGCAGCTGTTAGGGGAATGATTGGAGTGGCAGGGAGACCCAAGGCAAAGATTGGCTAAAATGATAACCTTAGCCAGGGAGGAGGGGCCGTTGAGATGAGCAGTGACCGTGGGCACAATCTTTGTGTGTGCCCTTGTATATTTTCTCACTTCAGTCTGTGTCTTGTCTCCCCAGTTACGTCTGTAAGCTCCTTAAAAGATCTCTCAAATTCCTTTTTAAAGGTTCCTTCACCAGTGGAATGGTAAGTGCCATGTTTCAAATACAGTTGCAATGGTTCATGCTTTCTTCAAAGGCCTGGGAGCTCCTGGGGGCTGGGAACCTTGCTTGGGGGGCCACACTGTCTCCAGCTTCTCCCTCGCTGCCTGGTGCCTAAAAGGGCTCAGTAAATCAGGTGGCACTGACTTCTCTGTTCCAGAACCCCCACCAGGTGTTGACTCAGTAAAGGTCTGTACAGAACCAGCCTTTCTCTCCTGTAAGCCTCCTCTTGACCAGCCATGTGCCCAGGCCGGACAGGGAGAGGTGTTTCCTCTGTGTGCGCAGAACTGTCTTGGGAGGTTGGGAAACAGAAACAGAAACATGCCTGGACCTTTTCGAGACAATGCCAGGGTAGAAAGGCTCATCTCCTAACTTCTGAATAAAAGTGTTGGCCTACTTCCTATCACTTTGGGAGAATCTCAGGCTGCTGGGTGCTGACATGACCACGATTCATATTAAAATCTTTTCATTTATAGCTGCATTAAAAATAGAGTTAGAAACTGGACTTGGTGGCACAAACCTGTAATCCCAGCACTCAGGAGGCTAAGGCAGGAGAATGGCCCTGAGTTCAAGGCCAGCCTGAACTGTCTAGCAAGACCCTGTCTCAAAAGAACAAACAAAAATAGAGTCAGCATAGTCACTAATGGACCCTGCTTCCTTTCTCTTGCTGGATGCGGCCTGGCACACCTCATACCTTCTGGGCCCTTGTGAATGTGCTGCTTCTTTCACCCTCAGCCCCATCCGGAGCCCACCTAGGGGGGCGGGAGTTACTGGACAGATCCCAGCAGGCTCAGCCACAGCTCCCCGCCTCTGCAGCTGGGGTTATAAATAACTACCAAAGCTAAACAGTCAAATAACCACATTTTGAAAACTGCTAAGAAAAAAAAATCACTCTAGCCCATCTCAATAGCAATTCTCCCACCCCTCTCCTTCATCCACTCCCTTCCCTCCACTTATCTGCTCCCTTCCCTGATCCACACCCCTGGGGAACTCTGAGCACAAAGCTGTCTCATGATGAAGACATCCTTTTCTATATTTGACAGGGCCAAAGCCCTCCAGGGCTGTAGTTCTAGTTGCATGATGTTGTTATGGCAGCAGAGGCCTCGGGGCAACATATGTTCCTCACTGTAATTGGGTTTTCTCTAACAGACCGGCTCTCCCTGGGTTCTCTGTACCCAAACTCACTTAACCGAGAAGGCCAGGGAATTGCCTTTACAGATGGGTCTTCATCCCACCCCCACCCCCACCCCACCCCCGCAAAACCGATTCCTCTTTATTCCCAAGGATGTAATGTATCCAGTAATGACAGATTGAGATCTTTTAGATTGCAGGCATTTTCCTGTATATGTTCTTGAGCATCTTATATGTGCTAGGCACTGGGCTGGGAGCTGAGAATGCAGTGTGGGTAAGCTGATATCCTTCTGTCAATGGAGGGCAAGTATATATGGGAGGGGGGGACACAATTTTCACCAGCCCTCAGCCCCCTCCATCTGTTCAGAATTACTAACTAGCTCAGTATAATAACACAAAATAAAATTTTGATCTTTTACCTTACCATTACTGCAAAGCAGCTGTATTTTATTTTATTTTATTTATTTTTGGTACCAGGGATCAAACTCGGGTCCTTGTGCTTGTAGGGTAAGCAGCAGAACCACTGAGCTAAATTCCTGGCCCTAAGCAACTTTTTCTTAAATGTAGTCTTCCAATTGTTCTCCACTTGAAAAATTCTTTTTTAGACAGAGCCTCGCTAAGTGGTTCAGGCTAGCCTCGAACCCTTGGGGGGGTCCTCCTGCCTCGGCCTCCAAAGTGCTGGGTGTTGCAGGTGTGCATCACCATGCCTGGCTCTCATGTTTTTATGTATGCCTCTTATATACTGCTTTTATTTCTTTCCCCAAAAATACCACTAGTTCAAGGATACCAATTCAAGATCTTATTCCCAGAACTAAGTGCTATTTTTTAAAATCTTACAATATTAATAAAAATGGAAAATTTGCCCTCAAATGGGGTTTTGATTTTATTTTTAGTGAAGATATACTCTAGTTGTCTGTGTGTTTGTTTCCTTTTCTGTGAAATCCTACTCATTGTTAATTTTGCTAGTGGGGTCTTGATGTTTTTCTTTTAAATTTGAATTAGAAAAGGAAGAAGAGAAATGCTGTGTTCAGGCCACTTTCAGTTACAGAGTCAGTGTCATAAGGCAGGACATTCACTTCATAACTGTTTCTCT